CACACACACACACACACACACACACACACACACACACACACACACACTCATGGAAACTTGTGTTTGTATTTTTAGGATATAGGTGAAATTGATTGCAAACCAGCTGTTGGTCATTACACAGGAGCTGGAGATGAATTGGATGTTGAAGACCTTTATACTAAATATAAGGTATTATAAATATTATACTTATATATGTAGATAGGTCCATTTAAAATGTGGCAAAATGACTCGAAAAACATAGAAGATTGAAAAAACGTTTCAGACACAAGTGGAAGTTTCAAGTATTAATTTTAGTTAGTTTTTTTTGAGACGCCAAAAAAATATGTGTGAGTCACCTCCACTTTTTTAAAAATGGAATTATATAATTTTTTTATCTAATATGATTTCTCTAATTATTTTGCATATAAAAGTATTAAAGTACAGATATCAAAAAGTCAATAGTTTATTTAGAGATATTTCATATTTTATCGTGACATATATTGATTTAAAATATTGATATAAAATTAAAATGTAAAATAAAATATGAAATCTCTACTTTTAAATATTGATACAAATTTAAAATTTTGGCACAAAATCTCTACTTTTCTGTATGTGACGGTCTTATTGGCTATGTTCAGCAGAACGTTTATTTTGCAACTATTGGAAGTTTTCTTTGTGCTGATTATTTACATAAGGAAAAGCAGGGAGTTAGATAAAGCAGGCATTTTATGCATATTGGTCGGCCATTATGCATTATGCCCGAATTAATCAAATTTCCTGTAACATATATAAAAATAAAGAATTATTACAAATTATAAATATATTCTTTGAGTAGAAATTGCAGAGGATGTTGGAATTTCTTGAGGTACAAGAGGAATATATTAAAGATGAACAACGTAATCTAAAAAAAGAATATTTGCATGCTCAAGAAGAAGTTAAGCGTATCCAGAGTGTACCTTTGGTCATTGGACAATTCCTAGAAGCTGTTGATCAGAATACTGGTATAGTGGGTTCTACAACAGGCTCAAATTATTACGTACGGATTTTGTCTACTATAGACAGAGAACTCTTAAAGCCTTCTGCTAGTGTAGCGCTCCACAAGCATAGCAATGCTTTAGTGGATGTGCTGCCACCAGAAGCTGATTCTAGCATTTCTATGTTACAAGCAGGTAATAATTTATGATTTTTGGGTATTGTACAGGCTCCAAGATCCGATTGCATCAATGTTACTTTGATTTTAAGCGAGGCTTAAAACTCTGTCTCTGTCTCTTTTTCAGCTTTAAAACAAAGAGTTTTTTAAGTCTCGCTTAAAGTCAAAGTAACGTAGGTGCAACTTGACCTAAGACATAAAAAAAAATTAACAAAATTTAAACTTGATAAAGCTCTAAATAGGGTCAAAGTCTTAATAATTAGAGTTACTAATTATATATATAAGATTTAATTCAATATTTTTTTTATTACTGTAGGTCTGATAATCACTTTTTTTTTACTGTCTGATTTTTCCTTCCTTGATCTTCTAAAAATAAACAATTACATTGAGTTTAAATTAAAATAAAATGTATTGGATTTGTAATCCAGATGAGAAACCAGATATCCAGTACAGTGATATAGGTGGAATGGATATGCAAAAACAAGAGATCAGAGAAGCAGTGGAGTTACCTCTTACTCATTTTGAATTATATAAGCAGATTGGTATTGATCCACCTCGAGGGGTACTTATGTACGGACCACCTGGTTGTGGAAAAACTATGTTAGCAAAAGCTGTTGCTAGACATACCACTGGTATTAAAAAACTATTATAAATATCTAATCTAACTGCATCAACAAATGATAAATAAAAGGAGGATGTTAAAAAAAGGGCCGATTTTTGCTCAAAAAAAGTGTAAGAAAAGAAAGTGTTTTTTGTAGATTTTGACCTCCTGGCCAAATACAATAAAATTATTAAAAATTTGCGACATTTGGGCGACACCTCGAAAATTGAGCATGGACATGGTGTATTCATTTAAATTTTAACGTTCTCAATTTTTGAGGCGTTCCTCAAACGTTACGAAATTTTTAATAACTTTATCGTATCCAGGGTGCCAAGGCACAAAAAACACTTTCTCACCTTTTTGGGCAAAAATCGGATCTTTTTTTAACATCTTTTTTTCTTTTAACTGTATTGTTTTCTATCTCCTAGCTGCCTTTATTCGCGTAGTGGGTTCTGAATTTGTGCAAAAATATTTGGGTGAAGGACCAAGAATGGTACGAGACGTATTCCGTTTGGCAAAAGAGAACTCACCAGCTATAATATTTGTTGACGAGATAGATGCTATCGCTACCAAAAGATTTGACGCTCAAACTGGAGCAGATCGTGAAGTGCAACGTATTCTTTTGGAGTTACTCAATCAGATGGATGGTTTTGATCAAACAACTAATGTCAAAGTTATTATGGCGACAAATAGGTGAGTTAACTCTAACTCCGCTAAAAATATAATTTTATTAACCTGCCTTTACATAATTCGCAAATTGCAAAATGTATTTCATAAACGCAGTCGTAAAATAACGATCTGCGTTTTGCGAATAGACTGGATTAGACTAGACTGGATTATGGACTATGATATTAACTTTTGTGCTGCGGTGACTGCATTGACCAGTAATATAGCAAAAATGAATTTTGTACTTGCTCATTTATCAGCAGAGAGCCATCCTTTTTATAAATGTCTATAATACGGAAAATATCACACAGGATGTGTTTTTACGCTCATGTGCTTTAAACACTGATAAGCATCGCTTATACTGTTCATTTTTCCCGTCGTAAGTGCTCGGAGAAGGGCAGAGAAACACTTCATCTCGTGACGTCATAGATGGTACTGCTCAGTGAGCAATAGCTCACAAACGCTTTGTCCATCGAGGTAGGGCAGCAAAAGCGTGAGCACTTACAGATGCTTATGGCCAAAAGTAAACGCAATGAACGCGTGGTACTTAAAAATAAAAAATGGCCAGTGAACATGTTTATATGCACATTTTGGTATTTTCACTATGAGAATCATAATCCTCTTTGTTATCGTCTATTGACAGAAGAATTGACACTTGCCTAAATAATATTGGAATAATTTCTTTTTTATCCATTATTATTATAATCGTCTTATAATCGCCTATAAAACAAGAAATGAACGACTTTGCTTCATGTCACAAGAGCGTTTACAGTGCGTGAGAAACGATTAAAAATAACGCTTAAAATGTTAACGCCACTGTTGTAGTTCAATTCATTGCATGTGGTATGATGCAAGTAGTCTATTTGCATCATGGCGTACAGTTGGTTTGCATTTGCATGTATCTTGCGTGCGGTGCTATGCTATTTTGCATTTGCAAACTACGTTTTGCAATTTGCGAGTTAGAGGCAGCTGTATAGCTATCAGTAATATCATCGCCTTTATTCTTATGTATTTTTGCAGAGCGGATACATTGGATCCTGCATTGCTTCGTCCTGGTAGATTAGATCGCAAGATTGAATTTCCATTGCCTGATCGTCGACAGAAACGCTTAATCTTCTCCACGATTACTGCAAAAATGAACTTGAGCGAAGAAGTGGATCTCGAGGATTATGTAGCACGACCAGATAGAATTTCTGGTGCTGATATTATCAGGAATGCATGCGGTTCGTGAAAATCGTTACATCGTTTTAGCAAAAGATTTTGAAAAAGGTTATAAAAACAATATTAAGAAAGATGAGTCTGAACATGAATTCTACAAGTAAATCGAATAATGTTTCGTTATGTGACTATATCTTATATACTTATATAACATGCGTATAATAATAGACATGTTACAAGATTAAAATGATGAATACAGTTGTTGTGTGCTCTATTGATTTTCTGTCTATCATCTTTTTTAACATGGCCTTCATTCTCATCATTTGGAGTATGCCTTAATCAAATGATATCTTGATCATTGTAATTACTTTCGTCAATTTTTTTTTTATCACGTGTTCTTTCAAAGAAGATTACGTGTATTTCACATAATAAACATTTCCAACTTGATCTTTTTTTCTTATGTGCCTATTTCCTTAGGCTTTTTACACTTATGATACAATCAAGACTACTGTGGCCGGTATTCATAGTCGATTTTTATATTTGAGATTTATCTTAAGTCTCAAATATAAGAAGACTTGAGACAGTCTTAAGATGTCATAAGTCAGTCAGAGGGTTGTGCATTAGCATCCTAAGACATTACTTAAGACGGTCTTAAAATAAGAACGGACTATGAATACTGGCCTGTAAGAAATTATGAATAGTAAGATATTTTATCATAAAGATGTTTTGGTGATGTTTATTTGCTCTTTCAATTTTTTTTACTTCTCTCTTTGTTCCTTGTATACACACAAGGACAGTCAGATTCTCTATTGACGACTCATGGTGGAAGAAACTCTCTTATGAGTCTTCCATCATCTATTGACTCTATTGTTAGACTATAATATTATTTGTATTTGTATATATTTAAATTATGTTATGGTGCAAGAAATTATGTATCATGTCATATCCTTTGAGTAGTTATGACCAAAAGTTCTACGAAAATGAATATAGACATATTTCGTGAAGCCAAACTATATCATGTATGTATTTATGTAATTATAAGAATATAAATTCAAACAAATTCATTTTATATATTTGTCTGTGAACAGATCGTGCATAGCATTAAATACTAATCAGTTGAATCTAGTCATCGATATATATATATATATATATTATATATATATATATATAATCATGAGCTCAATTTCTGATTGATCGACATTTTATATCATATGACAAGACTTCCGCCATTATGAGCAATGGGTCACCTTTCTAATTCCACCATATATTTAATGACCAATATCAATAATGTGAAGTTACTTGTGAGATTATGATTTGAAAGCTGAAATATAGAAATTATATCAAATTTAAAAGCATATAACTTTAATATATTTGTGGCATATAGGACATATTTGTAGTTGTCTAAAATATATTGTATGTATGTTAATCTATATTTTCAAAAGTTTATGCTAAATTTTTCTTAGGAAAGTAGAGAAGAAAAAATTTTTATACACGTAGGATTGCTAAAAAATGGTTCGATGGAAAACGTGCAAAAAATATTGGAAGAGAATCAATGATGTTGACGCTTATAAAAACTATTTTTGAGTGTGTGACAGTAAAAATGGAATTAGCAGTGATTAATAATATATTGTCACTTTGTTAGCATATTCGCTTATTAATATATTACAGTATGATTCATGATTTTAGGGAGCTCTGCCTTTCTTTATATCGAACTCTGAATTATCTGTAACAACTAATGAAATGAATATAATAAACGATGTCTTTTCGTGCAATATTGAATTTTGTTCTAAATCTAAATATTTACCGCAATCAGGTAAGATTTTAAAAATACATTGACAAATTTTATAAAGATTTCTGGGATTAATGTAATATTTTTTTTCTCTTATGTAATATGTATACTTTAAATTGTAGTTATTGATGATTTAAAATTAATGTATAATTTACAATTATAAACGTTTTGTACCTTAGCATCTATTAACAAGAATTCGAAGACAAATGTATGTTCTAAAGAAAGTTGGTGTGATATATTCAGATTTGAATATGCAGTCTATAAAACATTGAAGGTTGTCTCCAATCATTAATACGTATCGTTTGAAATTTGTATTTATTCATATTTATAAATAATGTATATGAATAGATACATACATTATTACATTACATCTACATGAAAAATGTACCATTGGTTATAAAAAAATTGCGTTAAGATTTTAATATCATGAATTAAAAGTTGAATTAAAAGTTAAATTGATGTCAATAGCTATAAACAATTTATTGCAAAAGAAGAATATATCTTCTTTGTCTTAAGTTTATATTTTTCTAATTATATTTATTTTTATTCTTTATAGATTCTTGATAAATGTGTCGACAATCTTCATACAAATCCTCCATGTAAACATCATATTTCAATGACATTGGCTTTATTTCTGTATCATATTCGTTATTTCTTAGAATATGTTTTACGCAGAATGTATCTTAAGCTGGAACAAGAAAGGAGTAAAGAACTGTATTATAGAAAACTTTGGCATTGTCAAAGGAAATCTATTGAAGATGTTGCTAGTAAAATATATAACTTTTTATCTGTACAGTACAGTCGAAATTTTTCCGTTCCTCTATTTTACTCATCTGAATTGAGTAATATCTACTTAAATTTCCTATTAGAAAATTAAGAATGTATTACTTGGGCTACATTCGGTTTGGACGTTCATGCGCTTTAAGCGCTTATAATCATCATTTTGTTTTTATCGTTCATTAGACATAAAACAAGGATAGAAACACTGAAAGCACTAAAAGCATCGGAACTGAACGCAGCCTTACATCTGTTCAAACTCCAAACTATCACGCATGATTATATTGTACGCGGATATAATATTATTTTAAATTAGTACGATGTATATTATTGTTCTATGTACGCGTACGTGATCAAGTAGCAAATACAAAACAATGATGGAACAGCGCAAAAAGAGACATTAATTAAGTTTATATTAATATTTTTCGCAATAAGTTTTATTACAGTTTTTAAGTTGGGGAATTTGGGGGGATTATTAATATTTTCAGATTTGATTGCATTGAAAGTCCGACAACCATATCGGCACGCAATTATCATTTCTGAAATTAATTCATTTAAATGAATTTACAATAGTTCAACATCTTAACGTTCTGACCGTTATAGCGCTTCTTAATTCAAAATTATTATGTTTAACATTAGCGGTCTTTTAATCTTATTATTGTTTATATTAATATCTAATGAAAGTGTGCACTAATTTCTACGCCGATTCTCACTTGCACTTTTCACTTCTATATATTTGATTTTATTCGGGAGTCCAAATTATTTTTTCACTTTAATTAAGTTTACTAAAGTTTATAACTGAGCTGCTTGTATGAGAGAATAAAATAAAGTTAATGGTACAGATATTAAATTTCGACTGAATTTTCGACTGTACACCCATGATTAAGCTCGTAGGAAAAAGTTCAAAGAAATTAACTTTCGTCTTTTCTTTCCTCTTTTTGGTGATATATAGAATCCATTACAGATCTGGAAGAACAACAAATTAATCATAAAAAAATGCTCGAGGACACAATCAAACGATACAAGAAAAATATAATTGCTGTCAATGAAATTGACGAAAGATGCAACGAATGTATCACAAGTACAAAGTAATCTTTTTATATCTTTGTATCGCAGCCAAAAGTATACTACACTTTTAGGTATATATATGTGTGTGCAAATAAATAATCCATTATTTTTATGAAATTCAATATTTATTGTCGAAACATAACATATACAAAAAACAATGAAAGAACAAGGGCAGTAGGAGTCAAGCGCGGGAGATGTTGCGCAAATAACACGACTATCGTAGCGTGAAACTTCTTTATTTTACTAAAGCGCTTACATGTTTCGGCTCATCACGATAGTCGTGTTATTTGCGCAACATCTCCCGCGCTTGACTCCTACTGCCCTTGTTCTTTCATTGTTTTTTGATTTATAAGGAGTCTTAGTTAGGTTGATTTATTATACGTTATAACATATAGATATAGCCTACTGCTTCCTGTTATTGCGAGTCTTGAAAAAATACTGCAGTGTATGTAATATGAACTATGATGGATAGTTATTTCTAAAAAAACTATCTATATGTTTTTTTTTTTTCAAATTGCTCTAGTTAGAAATAAAATCATATCGAAATGCATTTTAAAGCTAAAAGTTGATATTCAGATATGGCATTAATAAAATTAAGCAAAAAATCTAGTTGTCGCGGTGCTATATAATGATTCATCTTAGAAACTCTCAAAATCGCTTTTTTTTGTCTCTTTGACACCATTTTTCTCAAAATCGTGACATGATCGTCAACTTTTACCAACGAATTCGTGTTTAACTGGTAAAAATACATTGAAATGACTATTCACACTCAGTATAACAAAAAAAAAAGATCAAATTTTATTCCACAGTACGTGTTTTTATATTATAACTACCTGAGTAAAAATTTTTAGATACAGTTATATATAGTGCATATATATTGTATATATGTTATATGATCTTACAAAAATTGATATAATTATTCATATATAATTAACCATGTATGAAATTGTAAATATGTATAATTTATATGTTTATACATGATATAAACCAGGAAATTAGCGCATCAGAATATCATAGCAAGATAGAGCGGACTAAACTGAGTTGAAAAGTCCTGTACCATTTTGCAATTTTCGCAATAATTAACGAGATATTAATTACTAAAAATCGATGAATATTGGTTTTCATTAATTTTTTACTCAAATACTATTAACTTTACGGAAAAACGGTGAGAGACAAAAATTATTTATTTTCTTCTCATAAAGTTCTGAGAATTATTTTAGAATTTTTTCAGAATTTTTTAATACCGTATTTTTTCATGTCGGTAAAAATAAGAAAATGCTGTACTAAAAAGATAATAAAAAATTCTGAAAAAATTCTTAGAGTTAGAAAAAAATTAACAATTTTTCTGTTGTAGTTTTTCTGTAAAGTTGATAGTATTTGAATAAAAAATTATTGAAGACCAATATTCAACGATTTTAGTAATTAATATCTTATTAACTATTGCGAAAATTGCAAAATGGTAGAGGACTTTTAGTCCGCCCTATTTTGCTAAGATATTCTGATGCGGTAATTTCCGGATACCCGTATATGAAATCATACATACATATAATCAGTTATAATCATATATGAGTTATGTATAATAATACACAGAGAAAAAATGTACTAAATTTTAATAAATAATTGTTTGAATAGTACTAATATAACATTTATTTATGGAAAATAAATGTGTTCAATAAAATACAATAATAGGTAAATCAATTTAATGGTTCTTGTACCAAATAAATACAGGATGTTTCATAAATACACGTCAAGAGATAAATCAATACACTTTAGGAGATAAATCTATACACTAAAATAAACATATATGTTTATGTCAATTAAATTCGATTTTATAACAACTAATATGTTATAAAACCTGATTTAATTAGCGTTTATACGATATTTTACGTTACTATAAGTTTTGCGTCACCTAGCTGCATTAATCGGGTTTAGTAACATATTAATAGAGTTAATATAAATATGATGAGTTCGGAGTATTCAGAACGCGCTTTTACGTTTGCTTTGTTGTTAGTGCGTATTTAGCATATGTTGTTCATATGATATATGCTATAGAATTTCGACATAAATGATAAAAGCGCGGATTCATCGATAAAACTTGTATTAAATACGCCGTAATAACGGACGTTACTAAACCCGATTAATAATAACGTGTAAACGTAATTTATAACTTGCCTTAAAAGAAAGGTAAAGGAAAATATTGAAAAATAGTAACAATTATTATTTTCATGATTGAACTTATGTCGATATATGTTTTGACAATAAATATTAAATTTCATAAAAATAATGGATTATTTAATTGTACACCTAATATATTGTTATATTTATCAAGTGTCATACATACGTACTGCTTACGTAGGTAATATATCATCTATCATACTTTGTGTGCTCTATTTTGGTAGCGTGAGATACGAAAAGAAACAAATTGTTACATGTAGAGCGTGGGAATACGAGCAAAATAAAATACAGTCAGCATTAGAAAACGTTATCAATGATCTTGAATCCTTAAAAGATATAAATATGAAAAAAGAACAAACTATCCGTAAGCGAAAGTACGTGCGTATAATTTAAATTATCATATTTGTTTATCATATATATATTTATATAATTTATAATTGTGTTGCGTATAGATTGATAACTGAATCGAAATTATTAACGATAATGACTAAGTACGACACAGAAATTGACAGTAGATGTAAAATGTTGGAACAACTTAGCCAAATATATAAACATCACAAGCTAGAGAGACACGACTTGGAGGTATAACTTTAATTGTTACATATAATTCACACGTTTTGATAAATTAATGTCTTATAAATATTAAATTAAGTTAAAATAAATGGCTTATAAAATTTAATCGAGTTGAAAAGTTGAATGAACAAAAAATAACTCAAAATTACATAATTAAGATTGGATTAACTGATGTTAAATAAATAATTAATTTTGAAAAGCATTACTTTTATTAAATCATGAATACTCTAATTTTTCTTAAAATTATATTAATTTAAATAATAAAACAATTATAATATAGATAATCAGACGAATTTAATATTTTATTTGCAAGCTATATATTATAATAATAAAGATATATATTTCTTGTACAATAAAAAACTGATTTTTAGAATTTTTACATATACAGGGTGTTTCCAAATTAAATCGCAAAACTTCGGGAGCGTGTAGAGGAGTAAAAAACTAAGAAAAAAAGTCCTATAGACATATGCTCGTTT